TGTTTAATATACAATTAAACAACAAACACTTTAATAATTTATGAACCAGAGGGTAGTATTCAACTCACTTCAGTTTCCTTAAGTTTGGAATCTAGGCTGGTCATTCAGGCTTCACCAGCCATATCTCTCGCCACCGACTGCAAGTGAAACTCACATTTCAATTACAAGTCTGTCATCTAAGGAAGTAGATGGGAGGGAGGGCAGTGGCGAGGTACAAACCCACAGTTCTTACCAGTGCTGTTTGTCAGTAGAAACAATAAAACCTTAATTATTTAAAGTCCTGTACACAAAGTGGTCTGCCTTCCAGAAGGCAAAATATATTAAATAACATCTTTCACTAGATACGTTGACAACTTTTAGTCCCTGTGATGCAAAGGCAACAGCAGAGGTACAGGCTGATATCCCAGATATGGAGAGATACAAAAGAAAAACTATAGAAGATTGAGTCCAGATCTGCAGCAAAACATATTTTGCAGAAAAGTCTTTTATATTACCATTCCAAAGCACTATTTGAATTGTCCAAGATACTGTCACCAGAAAATAACATAATGCCAACAAGTATTCCTGAGACTTGTGGAAAATTTAAGTAAACAGTGAGAGTTTTAGACCTGTGATGAGAAATGAACACCTATGTCTCCTTCCTCACTAACAGGAAGGCTAAAACCCTAACTGCTGTTGAAGAGCCAGGATGGCCAAAAGTGCAGTACAGCAGCCAAGATGATGCTGGCTGGGAGCCATGCTGCCTCTGACGTCTCCCTGATTTCCCTCACTCATCCTTACCTTCAGGCTCACGAATACACCTTGCTGAACAAAGCAAGCAGCAAAGGTGGAAAGCACCCTACCCTGCATTAACGGGAACACAACCAGCAGATTGAGGAAAGTGATGATCTCCCTTTACTTGACACCCATTAGACCACATCACAACACGGCACCCAGTTTTGGGCCCCCCAGCACGAGGAAGATACTGATAAACTGCAGCAAGTTCAGATGGTCATGGGGCGGGAGCACTCACGGTGTGAAAAGCAGCTCAGGACACGCGGGCTGTTCAGCGTGAGAAGACAGCAGTGTTCCCTGCGGAGGTTATCCAGAAAGCACAGCGAGGCTCTTCGCAGCGGTGCATGTGGGAGTGGAGAAACAAGTATAAACCAAAGCAAGAGAGGCCCTGACTTGATTCAAGGAAAAGGGTTTTCATGATGCAGACAAACACTGAAGCAAGCTGCCCGGCAGGGTTGTGTACTCTCTATTCCTGTAGATTTTTAAGACACATCAGCTACAGCCCTTAACAGCCTGGTTTGCCCACACCAGTGACCCTACCCTGAATAAGGAGGCTCCCAAGGTCCCTTCCAACCTGAATTATACTATGATGAAATTTGTAGGACTGTATTAAGTTAGACAAAATGAGTGGAGGGCAAGAAGATAAAGAAAAATAGACCTGTAGTTACTCTGGTATTTAATAGCACATACGATTAAAATTGCAGTATTGTCCCAATACAGATCCTCTCGCACAGCTGAAGCCTGGGGCAGGTGGGATGATCTCCCTCACAGTTACAGTGGCAACTCACAGCACTGGAAAAAAATCAATGCTTCAGGGAAGGGATGAGAAAAAGCAGTTCTACTTGGCCAAGAACTTCTGTCAGAATGTCAGCAATACGATGGTAACTCCAGCTGTTAGTAAAGGACATGAGCAGTTACAATCAGAACATTGCACAGAGAGGTGGTTATACAGGCGGTTCAAAAGGAAAAGTGTCTTGCCAGACAGAAAAATCAGCAGTGAAAGTGATATTCAGTATGTCTTCTCAAGATTTTAAAATCAAATATCTGACACACAAAGAAATCACAATGGCCAAAAATCTTAAAGGGCATTCTTGAAAAACACTGTAATGGTAAATCATTGGAATGTTATCCCGTTATAGCCTGTCCTCCTTTAGCGTTAATTGGTTTTTGGAAGTGAGGAAGAGAGTTATATCTGACATGGTCCATAAAACATAATTAAACTTTTGGAGTGACAAAGAACAGGAAATTCTAAATCGCTACAGATTTTTATTTAAGACAGTGATTTACTACTGCTTGAATAGTTCCATATTTGAAGAAAAAATGGTATTAAGCACACTCTTTAGAGAGACAGAATAAAAAAGGTATTACATTTGCAAACTCAGTGACATCAGTACATCCATACACTTCCCCTGTCTCTTACTAAATTATCTATGTAATACTTCCCCTCTCTGTCAGAATGCTGCAAAAAATATTTTGAAAGATGGGAAAAAGAAAGGTAGCATCAGTTCATACAGAAAATGCATCCTATCATGGCATATGTTCTCTGCGTAAGCAGTCCATGTCACTTAAAATCTCATGCAAGTTTCACATTCAATTAAATCAAGAGAGTTATGAAAATTATCTGACTAGGTTCAAGTACAAAAAGCATATGCTTTTAGAGCATGAGAAACACACAATAAGACTTGAGTAGAAATAGAAAAAACAAACCAACGAAACCAAAACCATTGCTCCAAAAGAGAGATGACAAGAACTCTAGTGAAGTGTGGTTTTTTTGCTACAAACGCTATTAATGCTGCTTAGCCAAATTATTTTTCTGTGTAATTGTAATCCATCAGAGGGTAAAAGTGGCTAGCAGCAGAAGGCAAATGCCACAACATACTCCTGCAATGTATTACTATCTTCTTTCACTTCACCATACACTCATGACTGCATCTTTGTGCCTGTACTTAAACTCACAAATTCAAAACATATATCAGGCAGTCACGTAACCACTTCCCAAAAGCTCCCCAGGAAGAACAAATGCAACCATACAAACAACAGAAGCAGAACAGGCAAAAATTCTGGTTGCACCAGCGGTCAGATGTAAGTAATTTTCAAGAGAAAACTTCTTTTGAGATAGGTAGTTGAGTTATTATTGAGAGTCATGAAAACGTATAGACATTCAGAGGAATATTGGTTGGAAGGGACCTCTGAAGGTCACCTAGCCCAGCCCGCCCCTCAGAGCAGGGCTAAAGCCAACACCAGATGACACTTTTTCAGCCTAACAGTGGGTGAGAAAGACAGCAGGGTGTCTGGTACAAAACCAGGCCTGGGTTGTGCTCTCTGCTCTCCAGAGGCACCTAGCTCTTCAGGTCACAAATCTGCTAAGGAAAACATGAATTGACACGATGATCCTTTCTAAAGGATAAAAAGAAGACACAGCAGTAAATGAAACGTTCAAAGCAATATTTCCACCCTGAATTGATAGGAGAAAATGATCAGCAAAAAACCTCTGATCACACATATAAAGAAGTCACCAAAAGAAAAACTATGAGGAGCAGGTGACATGACCATCATCAACAACATGACACACTTTCTTCTGTGACAAAGTGAAGTTTTGTTCAGTATTCCAGTGGCCTCAAAAGAAACTCACGAACAAGCTCAAAGAAACTCGCTTGCAAAGCTGATGCAGAACACCACAGTAACTTGGGAAGCGAGGAGCAAACAGGCTGCAGGAAGCCAAGCAAAATAAAGTATGACACACATACCAAGTAGTTAATATTGGTCAGCAATAGGATGCAGACTTTTAAACATTAGCAATGTATGGGAAGTCCGTTTTTTTTGTTTAACATATAACACCCTTGACAATTCAGGTTTTGAGACAGACAGTAACAGAGACATCTGTTCTGTTTAGCTTTTATTTACCAATAGCAACAGAATGCTGTAATACACTGAGGTAAAAAGTCTTCATATGACTTTGACAGCTATGATGGAGCAAGGGTAGGAGATGAGCACTATCTGAGGTTATACATACTTTATGGACACAGTCCAGGTTTTTAAGTCTTTTCTCAGGAGGAGGAAAGAAGAGAGATGGAAATATGCCCATTTTTCATTCAGACATGCGAAATTTAAAGCCTCTCTTAATGGCCTATGTCACACAATGAACAATTTTAATTGTCAAGAAATTGCTTTTCCAGGTTGACCACCTGCTTAAGCTAGAGAATATATAAAAACAAGTCAATTTTTTACAGAGTCCTACATAGAACAACTCGGTCACGGAGATATTTATAGTTGTTCCTCTGTACGTTAAGCTCTATCTAAGTTGCTACCTTGATAGTTTCAAAGCATGGCAAAAGTCACAGGAGTAGCAAATTAAAAAGCCCTGAAGCAAAAAATGAGGAAGTTAATTGTCTGGAGTTAAGGTTCATTTAGCTGTGTCTGTGTTAACTCAGAAGCAAAAGGCTTAGCTTTAAAATGGAAAAGCATACAGAAAAAGCAAAAAGGAAATATAGTGAAATGAAATCCTTAGGAGGATAAAACAATGCAACCTGGTCCAAGCAACGCATGCAAAAGGTAAATGCTCTTAAGTGTTACCTCGTAAGGATATAGGCATCAGCTGTCACAGCTTCTCCACATTTGTAATACCTATTTTCTGTCTGCTCTCCCTCTAGTTTAGATATTTGTCCTTCAAACCCACGTCGCTAATTCTCACAAGGTAACGATATGTTACTAAAGTGAGTATTTGGGACATAACAAACACGTGTTTGTTGTTTGGGTTGGGTTTTTTGTTTTTTGGTTTTTTTTTTTTTGTTGGTTGTTTTTTTTTGGTTTTGGTTTGTTTTTTTTAGGACACCAAGCACCCGAGCACCCGGAGGACGCCGCCGGCACCGTCTCGGCCTCAGCGCTTACGGGCAGCTCTCCCCGAACCAGGCCGCGCTCCCGGCGCAGCCTTCGGCGGCCCCGTGTCCCGCGGGGGGGACGGGAGGGCAGCGTGGGGCAGCTCGCAGCCCGGGCCCGGCGGTGCGCGCCCAGCCGCTCGCTGCTCCCGCAACCGCTCCCGCCCCGCGGCAACGAACCGGCGCCGAGGGGCCGGGCCGGGCCGGGCCGATGCCGCCCCACCAGCCCCCCCCGCCCCCCGCGGGCCCTTCCCTCCCGCCGCGGCGGAGCGGCCCCAGCTGATCCCGCGGCCTCCACCGAGCACCCCCCCCACACACACCGCCCCGCCCCGCCCCGCCGCCAGCGCCCACCGCTCCGCAACCGGCTCATGGACCGCGAGGAGGCTCCGCGGCGGCGGCGTCACCGAGCACGAGAGAGAGGGAGGGGTGGGGACGGACGGACGGACACGCGCGGAGGGGGCAACCGGCCGCTCGAACCGCGCGGGGCCGCCGCGTCACGTGACGCCGAGGGCGGGCCGCCCCGCCCCGCCCCTCTCTGCCCCGGCGGCGCGGGTCCTAGCGCACGCCCCCTCCCTTCCCGCCGCCGCACTCACTCGCCAGCGCCGCCGCTGCCTCCGCTCCCGCCCGCCGCCGCCTCCTTCTGCCCGTCCCGGGGCGCCTCTCTGGGGAGTAAGCGGCGGGGCGGGGCCGGGGCCGGGGGCGGGGCCTCCCCACCCGCCGCCACCCGCGGGCCGGGCCGAACGCTGGTGCGGGCTGGGCGGGAGCCCGGGCAGGGCCGGCAGCCCACGCAAGCAGGGCAAGCAGCTTCGCCGGGAAGCGCCGCTCCCCAAAAACACCCGCAAGGGCAGAAACCTCCCCCCGCTCCGTGGGTGGCCCCCGACCGGCGCCGGCCCACCTGGAGGCCGCCACGAACGCGCGTCGAGCAGCGCAGCCCCAGGCAGCACACGCGGCTCTTAGAGAACTTTTAAAAATCCCTGGTTATTATAAATCCCTGTAGGAAAATGGACACGCGGGTAGGGAGAGTAAGACGCCCTCACGCTCCGTTTGACGCCGGACAGTTCAGGGCTCCCTCTGGGGCGCAGGAGCGCCGGCCGGGGGCCCGGGTGTTTCGGGTCCCGTCCCTCCGCCCTGACTAGTCAGTCCAAAGTCGGGCCGCATCCCTTACAGCCTATTTGTTCCCTTTCTTACACAATCAGCATTCAATAATCCTGTTCCAGCGCGGAGGCTGGGTAAGGTTGCTCTAATTCTGAGGCACTATCTCCTGCTTTTTCTTTCTGTATTATTGTAGAGGCTAAATTGGTAAGTTAGGTATTCCATCACTTTCCTCTAAGTTAGGTATTCCATCACTTTCCTCAAGTGCTGCTTTTTTATTTTATTTTATTTTATTTTATTTTTTTCCAAGGCATACACATTCCACGTGAGTACTCTTGTGCAGAATCAAGATCTTCAACTGTTACTCTAAGGGGAAGAATGTCTTTCTGTATATCATGGTACTAGTCCACCATTCCCACTAGATTTTCTTCCCAGCTTATAGCAGAACCCCGAATCAAAAACCACAAAAATAAACACCATTATCACCACCAAAATCTATGCAAAAGGATAGCAAAATGCAGATTTATTACACGGCTCCATTACAAATGTATTTACTTGCTCAGCTGAAAATAAACTGGAACGTACCATTGGCAATCTAAATGATTACATTAAAAAACAGTTCAACTCAGCAATCACAAGCGACCACTTCTCAATACCTGCAGGGATATTTCTCTAACAGAAATACTTATTTTAAAAAGCCCTGAACCACTTGACACGTATCATCACTGACACACACCGAACACCCACGCCCTAACACTGCAGTGCAGCTCCCTAACACGCAGGTAATGGCTCCTCGGGTGCCCAACAGCCCACGCGGCTGTGCACGGCCTCCCCCTCAGAGTGGCTATACGGACCGTTTTCCCCCAAGCACAGGCTCCCACTTGCTGCGTTTATAACACCGCACCCACGTGCAACCGCTGCCCGGTGCGGCGGAGCCCCGCGCGCAGTCGGAGTGGTCGTTACTAGCGGTACCTGCTGCTTAGGGTGGTGCGTGACAGACGGACGGCTCCCTCGGCGTTTACGTCACAGCAATTCAACCCCCCTGGCCTCACTTCCGTTTCTAGCAAATTTTAGCCTTTTCCAGTTAAACGTGCCCTCATAAACACATATTTGACAGAGACACCCCAAAAGCTATGGGAGGAAGCACTATCCAGCGGAAGGGCAATTCAAGAATCATGGGGGAATCTACATGTAATGACAGGTATGTAACTGTACCTACGCTCACATGAAATGTGGAACACAATCAGGAACCAGCAAATAAATAGCAAGATATTTAAAGTAAAAAAAAAACCACCATACAGAAATGGGCTATGCTCTATGCTATCACATTTAACATTCTAACAGCTACAGCTTGAAATAGCAACTTCAGTTTAAGAAAAAAAATCTCACCTTTGCAAATTTACAGTTGCTTTAGAGTGCTTTTAAAACAAAGAGGAGGAACCCACAAGTCAATTTAAGAAGAAGTTGCTACCATTTATTCTAATTGTAGACAAGCTAACAACGGACAGAAATGGACCTGAATATTCTGTTTCCGGAGGCAGAGATTTGACATTCAGATGCTCTACCAGCCATATAAATTTACCTGTCCGCAGAAACCAAAGCTCTCAATTTGTCTCATCCCATTCCCTCATGCAGCTCCTGTAACTCTCTGACTCTCGAGGCGAGCACCTGCCAATTTGCTTCCATGCCAGTCTTTTAATATTCTCGGTGCAGATAACATACAAGAATGCTAGAGGTGTGTGGGACCAGCTTACACCAACTGAAAGCAGCAGTGGGATTTTCTTCATATAAATGAGCTGATCACCTTAGTTACCCTTTGAAGTTAGTGAAGGGGAATACCTGCTTCAAGTACACGATGTCTCACATCCCAAAGATGCTTTCTTTAGGAGATGAATCATGTTTCAGATCACCTGTTTTTACCCCAGTGACTATACAGAGAAACTAGGACGAATAGCTCAGATGCAGGTATCTCAAATACAAAGGAAACAAATTCCCAATGAATAGGCCCAATATATTTAACCAACCATTCGAAAGTATTGGGACTTTTATTTCTGAGTGCTTATAAACACACACACAACGCACATCTCTAAAGTTTAAATCCTAAGTATGAAATTAAATAACAGGAAAATTCATGTACATGGAACTGCTCTAAACATGAGAGAAAGATACAACTAGGGATCTCCCTTGGAAGTTTTTGGTGAAAAGAGACTGTCATCCATAGCAGTCATTGCAAATATTTTTCTAACTCCATTCTGTGCATTGAATCATTCTATATTTCTCTCCTCATAACCGTATTTGAACGAGCAATTGTTGAAAAAAATGTATCCAGGTTTCTTAATTTCACTACAGAATCAAGGAGGCCAGCTGGTAAGCAGGAAACTTTAATCTTCTGTAATTAGCAATGGTGGAAAGGTAACGTGGGGAAAAAATCCAACACGCTGGAAAGACAGACAATGTTTGTAACAAGTTACGTACAAAACCACTTTTTCTTCACCCTTCTCTCTTCCGGGTTGTATGTTCTGTACTATTCCAGGAGTCAGGTATGAAAAAACAAGCAAAAGGTTAACATTATAACCATTTTAATAAAACTTACTGTATTATTTGCACTCTCAAAATACTTCTGAAAATAAAGTAAAAAAATATTTAGCATTCTTGAAAGTCTTAAGGAATTTTTTATTAAAAAAGCAGTTTTGTTTGTTGCTTCTTTTGACCCCAATTCTGCCTCCACATTACGCTTAGATGTAAGTGTATCCTTCTTATTACCATCATACAGTTGAATTTCTCTGGCACTGAAAATCACATAAAACAAATAAACCCTCACACAAATATATACAGGTAGCCAGAAACTAATCAAGAAGAAATTATGTTGTCTGTATTGAAGAGTAAACACCATTTTCAAATACCAACAAAACATCCAATTTGTTGGCATCTCACCTCCATCTAAGACTCCTGAGTAGGACAAACTGACTTCCACAAAGGAATTCCTACAACGACTTTGGTTTATAATGACCTAGAGAATTCATACCCCATACATAGTATTGATCTAGTGGATTTCTGTAAAGCTGATATGGCAGGCAACAGGAAAAACTACACATGTGAACTTCATGATGAGAATAATAATTTAAACTCAGTATGTCATATTCCAAATATACAGAAAAGACCCGATTATATTAAACACATATCTTCTGCTATAAACTAGCTCATCCAGCCAGATCCCAACTCTTTAATACCTCATGACTGAAGTAGCTAAGTATACTCTGTATCTGATGAATATTAGGCTACGTATGGAAAGCCTTAAAAGTCTGCTGCTTGTACTGATGGGTGTATCCATTTCTGCATGTTTCAGAAACAAAAGTTGGTACTGACTAAACTATGCTGGTTATCAGAAGGTGACTAGCCATACCGGTGCTGGGTACTGCTGGATCAGTACAGTTACTTACCAAAGAGCACGTTTATAGCCTGCAAATATATTCAGAAACTAGTTTCTGAAAATTCTGTCCAGAAACCACAAGAAATGGAAACAGCTGCATCAACTTAGTACTCTATATGAACTCATTAGGCCTGCTGAGAAACAGGCTATATTTGCAGGAGAGGAGCACTGCACTAGCATGAATACATGCCTCTGGTACCTCAGCTAAAATCAGTATGGCAACATACTACCTAGTGTAGGCATATTAATTAATTCAGAGCCAAATCCGTGGACAGTACCACACTGCCACAGCCTTCTTGGCTAGATTTACAGTTAGTCTGGCAAGAATATTACATTAAAGTAGCTGCGCTACTTGTAGTACCCAGACTAGTGTCAGAGGATGCTTTGGTAGCTCTGCAGTATTGCAACGTGCTCTGTAGTCACACTTGGTTCTTGAAACAACTGTCATTTCTAAGCAAATTTATGACGTAAAAGTAGCCCATTGTAGGTTCAAAACATAGCATAGATGTGGTTACATGGTGGTCAGATGTCAAGGCCACGCGATATCCTGTCGAATGGCAGCATTCCCCCGACACTTTAAATGGTTCCTCACATAGATGAGTTGTGTATGGAGAACATTACACAGTCTCCTATACAATAGTCATTGGAAAAATTGGGAAAGCTGCAAATACTTCACTGATCAATTTTTCTGGGAGGCATGTTTGGAAAGAATAAAGGAATATGAAGAGAGGTAAAGTTTCTCAGTTTTCACATCCAATAACAACATTCCAATCTTAAAAAAAAACCAAAAAAACAAAAAACCAACCAACAAAAAAAACACAACAAAAACCCAACAGATAAATAGACATGTGTTGACTTCCTGAAGCAGGAATGTAAATATTATCACAAGACAAACAACTCTGGACAGCCAGAGCTTAAACGTGTATTAAAACATAGCACGTTCTGAAAAGTGAGATCGTAT